TAAGAAATTACAATGGCATTACTTTCAGTCACATTTTTATATATAGAAAAAAAATGTCTGAGGAAAATCAGTGCAGTGCTGTCTGGTAAATACTGTAAAAGAGAGAAAAGGAGGACAGTGTTTGTGTGAAGTGCTGGTAAAAAACATCCAGAGATAGAGAGGTGTGGAGAGATGAAAGAGGAGGCCGAAGAAAGACAGAAATAAGTGCAGGTGTCATGTCTGTCTCCAGCAGCATCAGTCAAGAGTCACGTTCCAGCCGTCACATTCAATCTGAAACACCATCACAGGAGAACCTCCCCTGACGACTCCCGTCTCCTTCCCTTCATCCCTCTTTCATTCCGCTCTCTTTCACGTTCGGCAAACCCGTCGGGTTTGATCGCTTGAACATTTCTTTGGTTTCTTTATTGTAACACACAGGGATGTTTATTTGAAAAATAACAAACATACACAAATGCTGAAATTGCGTTTGACTGCTCGGCTCTCAAGGTTTCACAGCCTCAGATAACAGATTTCAGATATGTGTGTGGGTGAATCATGCGAAACCTGTCATGCACAAGCCATGCTTCACTCCAAAAATCAAAGGAAATATATAAAAAAGGAGAAAAAGACCATTTAAAACTATATTATTTTACTTGTAAAGTATTTATGCATCAACGAGGTATTTATTTCTTTAACGTTCTTTAATGTGACCTATTTCTTTGGTATTTCCCCATGCGTGAATGTACGGGTGACCTTGTTCAGAGTAAACATTAGACAGCATATGGCGGTAGTAAAGGAGAAAGAGTTTCAGTGTTTGATCTCTAGTGTAGCATCAGTGCAGATTTGAGACACGGACCTCCCTCTGAGGAGGAAGGCCAGGCAACGGCTTATTAGCTCTGTAATTATCATACGCTTGTTCTATGAAGGACAACCGCTGAGCTCAGCATAAAACAAGCTCTGAAGACTTTACTGATGTGTGCATGATGTGCCAAACTCTTGAAGGGACATATCCTGCACTTCTGAAGCATTTCAAGTGCGTTAGTTTTCCACCCTCCCACTGACTCTCAGAATTAAACCAGCTGCCTAAATGTTACCGTACCTTTAAGACTTCTCTATGTATATGCAAATCAGGGTGGCTGAGCTCCTGAATAGCTGATAGGTGGGCGGGCACATGTTAATGAGCTCACTAATGTGATGTCATAAATATGACGATTTCATTTATGGGGAGGATCTCTGAGTTCTGAATTTTAGCATATATCTACTTAACAGATATTTCAAATCATGTGATTATTTCAAAAGAGCAAGAACTTCCAAGATAGGAATTAGTAATAGTGATACTGTCCTCATTAAACACCATTAATTAATATTCTCATGAACTCATATTCTTCACAGATGATGGAACTGACTGCTACTACATAACCTGTCCACAAACAAGCAAATCACATCTTTCTTTACATGCTGGCCTTTGTGGATTTCACAGGCCGTTTGAAGACCGAATGCTAAGAATGTTAATATTTCACATTAATTGAAATATTTAATATCTCAACAGTCATTTAAATATTTATTATTTAAGTTTAGCGTATGATGAATTTAGACTTGAGGTCAGTGATGTTACATTAACATTACATTAAAAATAAAATTCATACATACCAATGCATTAATACCCATCTTCTAAGAAGAACATGATTTTAGTTTCTGAATTAAATAATTAAATTGGATTAAATTGGAGTGC